ACAAACTTTCACAACACATACGCATTGCAGGCAAAGCCAAGCATCAGTTGTTGTGCAGTGAATGCAATGAATGCCACAAATGCCTCGCAATCTGACAGATAAGAGCACATCATTTGGTGAACGCTTTTGTGTCACACAATCACTTCACTCCACAGTTTCGCACACTTTTTGCAATCATTTTCGCTTCAAATTCACTCACAATTGGTTTCATAGGCCATAGTCTGTCGGTAAACGACTGCCCGACGGATACACACATAGTAAAAGCCAATTAGTGGCTGAGTGTTGACTGCAACCCACTTACGAAACCGAGAGTCAAGTCGGCGATCAGAAAAAAGTTGTGCGAAATGTTTGAAGCGTTACATAATTGTAGTCATAATTTGTGTAAATATAGTGTTTGCGAGACTTTCTTTTGGGCTGATTGTTAGAAATGCACTGAAAATGCATTGAATTCATTGAATTGAATGCATTGACTGAATGAATGTGTGAGAGAGTGTGAGAGAGTGTGAGAGTGTGTGAGAGTGTGTGAGTGAGTGTGCAATGAGAGAGGCATTTGGCGAATGTTTGGCACCATTTATAGGATTATAGTGCACACTGTGGTCACCACTCACTGCGGTTATCAAAAGGTTATGCATTTTCAGCATAAATAAGTGGACTTTTCTTACAAGTTTTTTCTACACACATAATACACACACATTGTTGTCACTCATTGTCTCATCACTCAGCGATGTCTGTGTGAGTGCCCAGACATGTGATGGCGGACTCTCTCCCTCTCACTCTCCCATTAGTTATGACTTATTGTGATTTGCATTCATTAGTGACTACAGTGTCGACGACTACACAATCGCTGGTTAATTGCCATTCAATGCTAATTACTGCACCAAACACACAATGACTGCAAACCAATGGACGCATCCCTTCACACATTACACTCGCGTTTCACTTGTGGTGTCCATCAGTCTCACCACTTATATTGAGTTTATTTATTAGATTTCATTGTTTTTATGTGTAAATCAATTCATTTAACTAACAGTTTGTGTGCAAAACATTATATTTACAAATGTGTCACAAGTTTTGTGTAAATATAGCGTAAAATGGCTTTCAATTGTCTCCGTAATCAGTGACCAAACGGTTTACGGTATTATCATTTGCTTTGTGACCAAATCCGGTGACCATTTGTGACAATGAGTGCTGAGCCGAAACGGGTGTCGCTGAAGACCGTGCCATCGGTGGCCAACACTTGCGACAGACTCGACAACAACCACAAGAAGTCGAAGAATGGGCCCAAAGAGGCGCCGAAAGAGCCGAAAACGAGACGATTTACGGTTACTCTGCGGTTGAGTGAAGACACCGACGAATTCAATGAGTTCTCGTTCAATGAGTTGATGAAGACTTCCGACGACAAGGATGTATGCAATCGTTTAGATTCAATTGATTTATGGCTTTGTTTTAGACATTTATAGCCATTTCGATGCCTTTCCTATGCTTTTAAATTTGTCTTTCATTTCATGAATCAGTCTTTTAATGAAAATGTTATATCTTTGACCGAAAGGCCGAACCTAACGGTGCGGATGCGGACGACGCCTACCTGTCCGTCGACGACGAACAGAACGAACAGAAGTTACGAAAACTCGCGAAAAGCTTTGAACTGAAATACGGGCCGAAGAAGCGGCGTATGATTGAGGACCACATCGACAAAGGGAGCGGTTATGACGACACGGATCCCTTCATTGACAACGAGGAGGCGTACGACGAGTTGGTGCCCTCGACCCTCACCACCAAATACGGCGGCTTTTATATCAATTGCGGTGAACTCGAGTTCAGACCCCTTTCGCCAGAAGTCGTAGACATGAACGTCGAGGAGGAGGAGGACGACGACGAAGAGGACAACATTAGACCTGTGCTTAAGGTTTGCATTCATTTGTTGATATGTTTTGTCGACTCTTTTGCTGACAAATGAATTGGTTTTTAGCGCAAAAAGAAGTTAAAACTTATAAACCAGAAGAGGAGGCGTCCGAGCGTTGATTTGGTCCAAAAGAACGCCACGAATAAGACAACGCTTCCCAACAAAACGGTGAAAGAAATGCTGAGACATAAGAAGTTTATTACACCGAATGCCAGCAATAATACCAATAATGTCGAAGAGATTCAGTTGAATGACTCGGAGGAAGAGGTTATGGTCTCGGCGTCAGTGAAGGATGTGGTCGACTGTGTGGCCAAAGGCGAGGATCAGTCCAACGGCCATAAGACGATGACATCGAATGGTAATATAGAGGCCGAAGAACTTAATAGAACTGATGTCTTACAACCGGTTCAATTGCCCGACAATTTGCCACAAGACCTGCGTTTATTGATCGATAAGATTAAAAAGGTTTGCAATGCATAGCAATTGTTTTTGAATGAAATACTAATCACTTATTGAACCAATAGTTGGCCCAAACATCACACGACGGCAAACGGAACTTCTTCACCCAAGAAATCAATAAACTTCTCTTTGAGTGAGTCTTTGAGTCTTTGTTATTATCGTGCGATTGTCTCAATTGAGTCATAATTAACTGAATTTGTCATTCAGAGTGGAAACTAAGACCAAATCACTGCCACAACTGAGCAAAACGCAAATATACGCTCATTTGGCGTCAAAACTTCCGGTCACTAAACAGACACTCATCTCGAAGGTGAAGAAGGCGTCGGTCGAGACGTTTGATTACGAACTCAACTCAGCGATGGCTCGGATGCAAGTGTTGGTGAAAGCGAATACAGACACTGTGTTTCAGAAGTATCAACAGGACATGCAAAATGCCAAAGAACTGGACGAAAAGAACAAACAAAGCGGTACTCAGCATATGGTGACACTTCCGCGCAAAGTGTTTTCGTTTAGTCCAGAAATGCGACAACAGTTGGACCGCGCAGTCAGAGCTAAAATCAATTTATACGACCAAATCAGTCATAAGAGCCAAACGATTACTCTTAAGGACTATTTGTTTGAGTTCTTGGAGCAGAAAGTGAAACCCATTTTCCCGAAGGGATGGATGAGTACTGAGCACTTGAAGCGTAGAGTCAAGTGGATTAAAGACATACTGCCGCCGGCAGAGAGTCGCAACTGGAGGCCCAAAGAGCCCAGACAGCCATCGCCACAACAACCGCCACAATCACACCAACAGTCCCAACAGTCATCACCACAAACACAAACTGTGGGCAAACCGACGGCGCAGACCAACGCAGTGACTAAAAGTCAGCCCTCTCTGCCCGAAAAGTGTACAAAACCTGAAAGTGATTCAAATCAACGAAAATCGTTACTGAATTCAAATAACAGTAAATTGACTGCAAATCCCTATCAAATGGCTTCTAAAATGAGTGACAATATGAGTGAAGGACTCGGAAGTAAATTCATGCCAAACCCCAAAGAGACTAAGAATAGCATCAATAATACTGATTACATGACAAACGTTACATCAATTGATTTGTCGACAAAAGCGCGTTCGTCTCCCAAACCGACGGTTCCGACGGCCAAAGTGTCGCCAATGAATTTGAAGACATCGCCCAACACATCATCTCTCCTTAAATCCGATGCAATCAAATCCAGTTCCCCATCGCCTTCCGCGTCGCCGCTGTCCGTCAACTCTATACTGAGTTCCAGCAAAACGAGTGAAAAGGCGGACAAATTGAGTCGAGAGGAGTGTCTGACGAAAGTGATTGAACGGAGTTTAGGAGACTATCCCAACAGTTATACCAATAGTCAGAGGAATTCAAAGACAAACTCTTTGCCACAGAATTCGATTCTGTTTGCGAATGAGATGTTTGCCAAAGGATTCACTAATAGTGCTAAAGAGTCGGTGAAAGCCAAGCCTGAGGTCATCGAAATAGCCTCATCTCCCGAGCCATACATTAAAAGCCATCAAACGACACATCAGACAACCCCTTCCAAACAACAACTGTCCTCTCAATCATCACATGCCGCGTCCTTACAGTTCATACAGAACTTCCAGCAACAACAGCACCAAAAGTCGATGCAATCGCAGCAAAAGACAGCTAACAAACAGTACTCTATGTCTCAACCGTTGACTTCGACCACTTCGGCATCAAATGTTAGTTTTTCGCGGACATCAGAAGTGCCTAAAAAGAAGTACAACTCATCGACTTCTTTGATTCAGTCATCAAATACTCCAAAACTGGAACAGGATTTGCGTCAAAACGCTTCAAAAGTGGACTCAATTTTACATCAGTCATACATCAGTGCTAACTCCGGGCGGAACAGTAGTCGCGACACATCCATAAGCATTACGCCGATTCCGCAAAGTAAATCAAACGACATTATGACCCCTAAACAGAGCACCAGTTCCCGACTCATGAGCACAGCGGCTGTCGTGACATCGGCTTCACCGACGATCACCACAATTGCCAATAACCCGCTTATGATGGACGCATACCTGCGCCAAATACAGTCATTCGCCACCAGCGGACAAATACCGCCGTATCTGAGGTTTTTGGACACTCCTATCTACCAAACGGCACAAACCTCTCCAAACCTCTACTATCCCTATCAGAACACCATTTCTCCCAATAATTCCAACAATAAGACCACAAAAGACAAGTAAAACACTTGCTATGAGTGCTGTATAATAGTTGTCACATAACTGTATAATTTAGTGGACAAGTAGGGACGGCCTACCGTAAGTACAGTATAAATTAACTAATTCAGTACGAGTTTCGATTCATTTATAACAAAATAATCAAATTTTTAAGACTCAATAATTGACAGTAAGAGTTTTGAATGATTTTATATCTAGTTTTATGATAACTACTAATCGAGAACTAATTTATATACAAATATATAATGTGTTATATATAACTGTAATATTTCTTAAATTAATTTCTGTAATAATTAAATTCATGACTCAATATATATTTTTGTGTTTTTTAATTTCATTATGAATTCATGAAACAAGTTTATAATCAAATTGTAAATTATTGTAATCATAAATGATTTGTAAATAAGTGACTTTCCATTAATTTGCTCATAAACTAGTGATTTGTTACGATTCATGAATTCTCCCATCAATTGTTTAACCTTTTAAACTATAATTTGTTTAAACTATAAATTAAATATTATTTGAAAAAATAATGTACTCTTGAAAAAGCAGTTGTCAAATAAATGAACAGTTTTTAAAATGAATTAATCGCTGTATTTTATACATCCTTAACTGTGCCTTGTTCCTATTACCGTAGTATTATCCGCGATCAAGATTTTAATCAAATTTTGGTATTTATTTGTCAAATCATTTTTAAATTGTGATAATTATGATTTTTCATTTTGAAACATTTTAATTATTTATATTTATTTATAACTTTGAATGTGAACTCTTGGCTAGAATTTGATTAACATTTTTGACGACATCCAGAGCACATCCATACGAGAGTGTAACGCCCGACCCTCCGTGTCCATAGTTGTGGACGACATGCAATTTCTTACCCCAATTGCTAATCACTTCTGTCTCGAGCCTAACCGAATCTCTTCCGGGTCTCAAACCGACCCATTCGCTCATGATTTGAGCGGTTCTGACACTCGGCACCAGTTGAGCGCATCCATCCATTATATCTTCACTGTCTTTGACATAAATATCTCGATTCCAATCACCCTTTTGTTTGGTGCCGCCCAACACCACTGCCTCACTATTTAGAAGGATATAGTGGTCGCCGGCCATCACTCCGTGTTTAATCCACGGGGCATTCACTCGGTATACCTGACCCCGGATTGGATACACGCCCTTATCGTCACCAAATTTGTTGGCCTCAACGCCCATACAATTGATTACTATATCATACTTTCCGATCAGTTCTTTTAGATTATTCACTCGCTTTTGGACTACTTTTCCTCCCTTTGAGTCAATTGAAAGTGAATTTATGTGAAAATAAGACCTCATTTTATCTCAAAGACTTGCCTTTGCTTTAAACTGTTGGTACAGAAATGGCAATAATTTGGTGCATTCGGCGTAATATGTGGTGACAAACACGCCTTTTGTCCATTTCTTGGGGAATAACTGTAACTCTTCGGGAGTCATATCTCTGTAGTGGACCATATCGTCAGCACATTCTGATCTCTCGTAGACATCATTGTCATCGAACAACATATACAGTGACATCAATCCAATCCCAAGTTTGCCAGCGTTTGGCGACAAGAGGTGGTCTCGCAAATAGTGGATCGTATCTCTAACCCATTGGCGAACTTTATCCGGATCAGTTTTGCCCGGCAAATACGGATATATGAGTCCTCCGCTGCCATCGCCTGTAGTGTTTGGCGTGAATTCGTGTGAAATTAATGTGATGTCTATATTAGGAACCGATTCAATGAGAGCGACCGCCGATGTCGTCCCTATTATTCCCGCACCGATTACAGCGATTTTGG